CCACGCGTCTCCAGGCACGGAAATCAAGGTTTCGTTGCCGATATACGGTTTCACGACCGCGGCAGCCGCGACGGCTGCATCGAAGGGGTCATTCGGTTTGATGGAGTTAAGCGGGATGCGCACGACTTTTCCGCTGAGCTGGCGCTGGCCGTTGCAGTCGGATGCTGTCTCATTACCGAATGACACCATCGCGCGGCGAGGCGGGCGCGTCGCCCCAGTTGAAGTAGAGCTGGTTGACCTTCTCATACGCGCCGCCGGACATATCAATGAGGATGCTCGCCGAGCCATTTGCCATGGGCCGCCACGCCGTGGCGATAGCACCGTCGATAGCGGCTTGTGGGAATTGACCCGGGGCGTAGGAATCGGTGGAGGAGACTTTCTGGCATTGAAGGAGGTTGCCTGTGTAGGTGATGTTGTCGAAGTAGAGGCGGTCGGGAACGTAGATTGTTTGGTCGACGTCGATGTTGTAAATGGCTTGGTTGTTGCCTGGGGTGCCGACCTCGACGGGCATGCTGGTGCCGGCGTATTTGTCTGTTAGGGTGGGGATGCCTTCGGTTGAGAAACGGGTGATGGTGGTGTGTGTGCGGTTCATGGTGATGCGGAGACCGGCGCCGGCGAAGTAGATGTCTCGCAGTTTTAGGTGCGGGATTTGAGGGGGTAGGGATGGGTTGATGAACATGTGTTCCTGATCAGTCCGGAGGCCAAGGAAGCCGAAGGGGGCGATTTGGTTGGCGCCGCCGTGGCCGGTCAAGAATGGGAAGGCTGGGTTCTGATGGCCGTTTCTCACGACGTTGTCGTCGTTTTGCTCTGAGAACTGGTAGAATGGCGCACGGAGATAGGGAAGGAAGCCGTTCAGGGTGAAAGTGTATGCAGCACAACCGGATGGGGAGATGGCGTTAGCTACAATAGCAGAGATGGAGTAGGTCATAGCCGGACCATTGGGAGACTGTCGGTTGGAATACTGCAAAATATTAGCGATGTATAGGGAATAGGATGCTGAGAACTAACATAATCCAGATCCAACAGCTTATCAGCCTCAGTGTAATTGTTTTGGTCATAGTCCAATGGGTAGGCGAGCAAGATAACATCGGCCTGCTTGACATTGACATTATTGTCCATGGTCTGGTACTCCAGAGTTATATCAGAGGGCGCGGTTGGGAACTCGATATTCTCCGACATGTGTTGCCAGGTTTCGTTGATGGCCTGGCCATTGTTTCGACGAAGACCGTTGGCGACGAGTAGAAGGTCAGCAGCAGAGGCAATGGTGAATGCTCCGTTGTCGATATGGTTCTATTTTTGTTAGTTCCCTGCTTTTGAGGAGGTTAGGGACAACTTACAGCGTACTCATCTGGATCAGTCATGTTATGGATCCAGTAGGTCTTGGTTGTCTCATTGTAATCCAAGAGCTCCCCTGTCATATACGCAATGCTCTCCACAATCTGCCTTGGGCCATCGTCAAACCACGTCTTGTTCTGCGTGATATTGTAAAGCTGCACCAAGTTGAATGCAATATCATGATTCAAATGGTACTCGTAGTCGACACAAGGTCCTGTGCCCGTGCAGTTGCCGAACTTCCCTGAAGTCCACGGATATAGGGCGCTTTCATTAGGGTAGTTATTGAAAGCCGCATTCGCCTTTGCTTGGTCGAACAGCTTAGCTCGGAAATTGCTAATCTGCTTGCTGTAGCTGGGGAAGTGCAAGTTGAGTCCAGGAGCCATCCAGTAATCGGCATCCCAGAAAATCATACCAGCATATGATTCCGATGCCAGCCCGCCCACTGAAATACTGTTGTCGTTGAGGCCAGATCCATCGGGCTGTAGACTTTGGAGGAGGTAGAAGCTGTTTGCAACAGTGGCGATTTGGAGGATTTCAATGTTTGCATCAGGTGGAAGTTGGCCGGTTGTGGGATCCGTGAAGTTGTCAATGGCAGCCTCTGTCATAAGCTCTCCCCACGCAGAGACGTGATCCGAGACCGCAGCATTCCATCCTGCGGCGTTTCCATCCTTCGATGCTTTACGCGCCACAGCCTCGGCGTCTTCGAATTTGTCGGTTGACGCAACGCCAACGTACTTGCGGAAGGTTGCTGTCTGCCCTGCCTTTAACGCAATGTTGAAGGTCTGTCCAATGGTTGTCTCGTTTGTGCTGACAATCGGTGATGAAGCCTCTACTCTGGAAGACATGTCTGTATATGTGCTGTCAAACTCGGCAGTAGATACCACATATGCTGTAACATTGGGGAGGTTGTCGGGATGAACCGCAGAGAGGATGGTTGTAGATTGGTCGTCCATTTTTTTCTCTGCCAAGTAAGACCGGACAGCACTCCTGCCATCTAACACGTCTGTCACCTTGCCATTGACATCGCCAGAAGGAGTGATTTGCGCCTCAACCGCAATAAGATTCGGCGCTACTCTGCTGATGATGGCCTTGAAGCTGACTTGGAACGTCGTCGAAACGCCAGCAGGACTCCATTTGTAAGTCCAAGCGGCTACTCCGGTCTTGAAGGTCAAACTCGATTCAAAGTTGGAGACTTCACTTGGATCTGCCGTGCTATCCAACGTGGCATCTCCGAAGGTGAAAAGAATCCCAGTTGCGTGTGGAATTCCAGCAATGAACGACTCATATCCGTACTGCTCCAGCCATGGATAGTTTGTGCCGCTGCCATTCTGCTGAAGGTCGTAAAAGCCACTGATAGTAGAGAAGGATAGTCTGCGCGAAAACAGAGGCCACACATTTGCAGGCTCATCGCCGTCGGGGTTTGTCTGGTTCATATCATACTCGAAGAATGGGCCCGCTGCCGCCAATGAAGCACCAACGTATCTAAACGATGGTCAGTTCAGTCTCAAAATGCTCGTCGCCGCGGCAAATTCAACATTGAGTAACATACCCGTTTGAGAGAGAGATCCGCGACTGGTACTGTGCTGGCACGTAATCGACGGTGGTAAGAGACCAATCGGTCTGGTTCCACACAGCTGATACATTGGTATTTGTGATTGAGAAATCCATTTGCTCCTCCAGAGCTGCTCTGGCAGGTGAGAGCTGACAGCTCAACACCGCGAGAGTAGCAACCAGAAATCGAAACATCTTGGATATGTATTTCTACTTTTTTTCTTCTGGGATTGACTCTAGATAATCAATTGGGTCTGGGGCGATCGTCGCCAACGTCTACTGGGTCGGTCTCTCTTCTTGACTTCTTTGTGACACAGAACCTTGCACAGCATAAAGCATCCTCTTGAGAATCGCCGGGGGAGCTCCGCAAGTTTATAAGGACTTATGTTTCCAAGGACTTAAGTTTCCAAGGATTTATGTTTCCGTGCCACTTGCCGTGTGTCTTGGAATTGATGTGCAGCTTCTCAACAAGCCCCGCATGAGATGGGGAAAATAGTCCGCGTGGAGCAAGTAGTGTGGGCAATCCATAACCCACCGCGCACCAGGTAGCGGGTTTGTTTACTGAACCCTGGAATCCAACAAGTGCGAGCCCTGTCCGGCCGAACCCTCCAAGATGACGCAGCGGTCTGCCCACATCGTGATATAGTGATCGCCGTAAGCAGCGGTCCTACGGTTCCCCCGGTGGTGCTGCCCCGCGACCACGCGCTCCGCCTCGAGCGGACCTTTAACAACTGTGACAATTATTACCCTTTCCCCGCATCATGGTAAATGTCTAGCCGTGGTCTGGATGGGGGACTTGATCCAACCCCAGCAGCGCCCAGGGATGCCCAGGGATTCCGCTGCTCCATTGCCGGATTGGGTGAGATGTGCAGGGGGCGGCATCGTCAGATGCGGGCTGGAGTCATGGGAGAAGGGCCGCTATTGTTGTTGTGCAGTTCCCAACCATGCCGTCGCTGCGCCGGCGGCGCGCCTCTCGGCGCTGTGGCTACATTAGCCTTCGGGGACATCCCCGCGCCATACTACTTGCGGCTTACTTGCAGCAGGGACTCTCAGAGGGGAAGGCAGGAAGTGAGACATTTCACGCGCACGCGGCGATTGTCGGGGTTGTTACGAGATGTGAGATTGTCTCAAGAGGGACTATTTGTCAGGTGAATTGTCAGGTGAAACATATATCATTTGTACAGACGAAATGATATATCGAACGCAGAGTTGCTGTTGATAATTTGTTTACCCTGCGTTCCTTCGTTCCTCGTTCCTCGCTTGGCTCTGGACGAACCCATCAAATGCCGAAGATAAGTGACGTCGATGCCAACAACCTTGTACGGAGTACGGAAGCTTAGACCGCCACACACTGTAGCGTACTCTTGAATTTTAGCGCCCAGCCTCGCCTGCCTCGCTCGCCTGACTCAGCGGGGCCAAAAAAAAAGCCAAAAAAATTATTTGGTGTGGTGGAATCAAACCACCTACGTTTTCAATCTCCTGGCGGAACTGGGAATCGAACCCAGATTGAAACGGGATTGTATGTTACAACGGGTGAGCGTTATACCACAACGTCACGTGCTACCATTACACCATCCCACCGCGTTTAGCGGAGGAGATTATTGGTCGACGGCCACTTATTGGGGTATATGTAGGTTATGAGAGTTTTCGAGCTGAAAATTTACACTTATTTGCGACTCCACATGCACATCAATTAACCAATTGATACCGATGCAAGTTGAATTTGTGGTGGTATTACACACAGTAGGCTACGTATAGGACAAATATAATATACAGATATAATACAAATATATCCCTGACCCTCCCTTGCTTTATCCTACTCTTACAATCGTACAGTACACGTATATAATCTTACACTCTAAAAGAGGTCCTTCACAGGCTTCTTCTCAGCTTCAAGTTGTGCAGGCGGCGGTGCAGCAGGCGCCTTCTTGCTCACAAACGCGTTGCAAAGCACACCAGTCGCCACGCTCACATTCATGCTGTCCACAAGCCCCCTCTGTCCACTCCCCTCAATAGACAACTCCACATCAGCCTTGCTCCTCAAGTTCCGCCACAAGACCGGCTCCCTCGCTACCCAGCATGAGGATACACGGCGCCTCCTGAAGCGGGTTGCACAGCTCATCAGTCGTCATAGCCAACGGCGCATTCGCGGAGCGATTCGTCGACGGCGCAACAGCGGCATAGATCTTCCACCCAGCAGCCTTTGAGTCGGCCACAAAGCCAGCGGGCGTATCGACCGTAAACAGCCTGACGTTTTCGCACGCTCCGGCCGAGGCCTTGAGCACCACTGGCGAAAAGCCTGCTGAGTTGCGGCTGGAGATTGCAATCGCAGTCACACCGAGGAAGGCAGCCGTGCGGATGATTCCGCCTAGGTTGCCGGGGTCGAGGATGGAGTCGAGGAGAAGGACGAAGGGTTTGCGCCCGTCGCCCAATTTGGCAAGTGAGCTAACATGCACGAAGTCAGAAGTCCCGTTTACGTTTGCCTCCTCGCGAGACTGGTGGCCCAGCACGAGTTTGAAGCCCTGCTTCTCATTCGTGACTGAAAGCTCACCGAGACTCAGGACGGGCAGCTTGGGCAGCGGCGAAGCCTCGAGGATGTAGCCGTTGTGTGGTCTGCCGGCGGACATCTTGTCCATCCTGCGCAGCCAGTCGTCGGTAACGTACTCGACGGGGACGTCTTGTTTCCTCGCGAGTTTGGCCAAGGTGCGGTCCTGTTCCTCGTTCTCGCGGTTCGCGCCGCGGTAGATATAGAACTTATAGAGGGTTCGACGGGGGTTGGCGCGCGAATTGAGTGCGGCTTCGACGACTGATGTTCCGTAGAGGAATTCGGATGCCGGGGTGGTATATGGGATCGTCACGGGCATGCGCTTGTCCATGATGGATAGGGTGGATTTAGTTTTCTGGGGGACTGCTTCAGTCCCGGTGGATTCGGAATCTTGCGACCTGGCTGCTAGAGTAGGTCTTCGGCGTTCGGCTTCGAACCCCTTCTTCGCCGAGAACGAGAAGTCTTTATCTTGCGATGGCCTAGTCACCGGAGCAAAACCTCCCCGATCGATTCTGAAGGATTTCTTCAAGGGGAAGCTATGGTCGTCTGAATTAGACCGGGAGCGCGAGCGCGCTGCCGATGATTCCTGCGTAGCGCTTGGCTTCCATTGCTCGCGGCCCCAGCTTCCCCTGGGCTCCTGTGTATCCCGGCTCTCCCTCATCCTTCCCTCCTTGAAATCATCCCTCTTCCGCGGGAAGTCCCTATCCACCTTCTTAGAAAAGCCACGCCAGTCTTGTTTGGCTTCGGGTGCAGCTGGCGCATCGAGCCCCTTCTTTTCCCTGCCAACAGCGCTTCGCTTTCCAAAGCTCGAATTGGGGTCGTAGAATCGAGCTGCTCGTGCGCGACGAACGGGTATCCTGTCATCTTTGATTTCTCGTTTCCCAGCTCGTATGCGTACGTCCCGTCCAGTGCGAGGCTTCTCTGCTTTGCCGCCACTGGCTTGGCTGTCTCCTTTCCAGTCGTCGCGAGAAAACCCACGGCTTCCTCCAGCAGATTCTGACGTCCTCCTCACATCTGTGCCGTCGTTTCTCGACTCACGGCCGCCATTGGAGACTTCATACTGGCCTCTCTCCCTTCCCCTAAAGCCTACTCCTTTCGACTTGCGAAGACCCTTGCCGATGGCAGAGTTCAACGACGCGGACCGGGACTGAAGGAGAGACGGGTATAGGAGCGGTAGAATGAGCGACTTGGCTGCTATGCGCTGGCAACTCCCGGAAAGAGTAACGCTGCTCATTTCATTAATCGTTGGTGTTGGTTGTCACAGCGCAGGCGGTGATATTTTTTCCCCAGAAACATTTTGAGGTACCTTCTTAGCGGCGATTGCCCGAAGTGCAGGGTCGTCCGTGCCATGACGGTGGAATATCAGAGTCTCACTTTGCACTGCATCTGAGTGGAAACTTAATTGTATTTGTATAGAATAGGAAAATAACTTATGTAGAATATCCCAATGGTACTTTGAACCCTTAGCAGTAATATTTCCGGTCCTGATAGTGGTTTTATACAAGGAGACATCTCGACGCGATTGATCGCGTCCCAATCCGCTAAGATAAAGGAGCGCGTCTACGTTATCGGAGACCACAAAGGTACAGCTCAGATAATTAACAACAACACCAGGGACCTACTCATGTGGGAGTATGACTTGCGCTTCCAGTGAATAAAGATCTGCTGGGGATATATATGTATGATGCCCCATACTATTAACCTGTTACCGCAGCCCAGCTGACCTCCAATAGTGGGATAGTACTCGCAGCACCTCAATGGTCTCGGTGCGCCGCCGTTGATAACTTTCGGGACCTCGAAAACCATGGCCTCCAGCGCCGATGATGGGGATGACTCTGTGGACGAGCTGCAGAGCTTCCAGGAATTTTCCCCTAGGAAGAGCGCAGATGCGCCATCCGTTACCGCGCTCCAACATAGGCCCCGAATGTCCAGCCCTTCCGATGCAAACCATGGAACGGGGGAGGACAAAAATGCTGATGGCGCATCAGAAGATGCCATAGAGGATGATGGCGACGTTGCATTCCGAATCGAGTTACCACCTGCTATAAACACCGAACAATACACATATGTCTCAGCGGAATCAGATGACGGTTATGTGGATTGCGTGGAGTCAGAAATAGAGGACTCGGAGAATGTCAGCTACCATATTCGGTATGACGATGGAGGAGACGGCATTGTAAGTGATTTATACTATATTTGCACAACATCACCCATGAATTTCACGGGCTTGACGTATCATTCCTCTACAACCTTCCTACCTTCCATCCAACATCACCAACCACCAATCGTTCAATCACAGAGATATTAGCACAAATCACTCGTTCTACTCTGTTTTTAAGCGGATTTCTCTTTTGAAGTTTAACACTACAGCTGCTTCAACCTCACTTTTACAACATCAGCTCATCATTTACCAACTTAGGTCCCATTTGAACGTCTACTTCAACTTTGCAACGGCCAAAACGCTCTTGATGTCTTCCACAACCCGAATGAAGTAGAAGAAGAATCAGATATACCACGCCGAACAGGAAAGTCTAGAGAACTATCGAAAAGGCAGGCTAGCATTTTATCATACACAAGAAAGAGGACGAGCACACGAGGGCACCTACGGAGTTATAACACCTCCGACGAGGACGACTTATCCATCAATCGATCTGACTCCATAAGACGACGAGCTGCCAGCCCCCGACGATCATTGCGATCTAAGACAGATTCACGCGCACCAAGGAATAAACGTTACAGCGGGATGACTTCACCAGAAGAAGGTTCTTCGTCAGATGAGCTTGCATCACAGTCCCTAGGTCGCCGCAGTTTAGGCACCCTGTCATCAAATGGCCGCCGCACACGAGGCAAATTTGCCCGACCGTCAATGAATGTCGACGATAGTGATGATGTGACCGGTGATGTCGACAGCGATGCGAGCGGCTTCGTGGCGAAGCGCTCAAGTGGTCGCCTAGGCCGCGGCCGTCCCACAAGAGGCAGGCCAGGCAGAAGCGGAATGTCCAAAAAATCGGGCATGTTCGGGCGCCGCAAGAAAGATTATGGTGACTCTTCTGAGGCACCAGAGCCTACTCGGAAATCTGGTAGGAGCACGAAGGTGTCGAAGAATATGAGAGACCAGCTTGAAAATGAGGAGCTGTATGCCGATTCAGACGTTGAAGAGACAGGCCCAAAGATCATAAGTGTGCGGGAAATATTTCAGCCTCTAGCTGCAAATAATCACTTCAGAGTCATCCACAATCGGCGTTGCGACGTATGTTCCGGAGCGAACACGACATCCAACAAAGGGCCTAGCCCGCTTATACAATGTCAAGGCTGTACGACTTCCATACACAAGGTCTGCCTTGGGTACAGGAGCCAGAGAGAGCACTTGGTCACCAAAGTCGGCGAGGGCGATTTCGTTTTGCAATGCCGACGTTGTATTGGCCTGGCGCGGAAGAAGGACAGGAGTGCTCCTGATCTTGGTGCCTGCCAAGAATGCAAGAAGCCTGGCCTAGCCTGTGCTCCATTTTCGACCAAAAAGACATCCAAGCAGGAGGAAAGGCTGAGAGAAGATAATGGAGGAACTGATCCGATTACCCTTGTTTCCCCAGACTTACTCAACAATCATGCCACTCTCCTGTTTCGATGCGTTTCATGCAAGCGCGGCTTCCACTTTGAGCATCTCCCTCCTCTCAATAGCTCGGGTTATAGCCCTGACGATGTGGCTGATTTACAAGAAGCTCGGTTTGCCGAGTACGAACCACACTGGAACTGCAAGGAGTGTCTTGACGTACCAGGGAAACCTCAGGGGATGGTTGCATGGAGGCCTGCCAACTTGGAGACATATGAACCTGGCCGTACTCTCGAGTCACTCACTGAAGATGAGAAAGAGTACCTCATCAAGTGGCAAGGAATGTCCTACTTCAGCTGTACGTGGGCACCTGGAGCGTGGGTATGGGGCATCACTGCGGCAATCATGAGAAATGCTTTTGCTCGCCGCTGCATAGAACAGAACAATGGCCTGCCAATTATGACGGAAAGCGATGCTATCCCAGAA